CCGGAGCCCACCTGGAGGCGTACGCCGACGATACTACCTTGTAAAGCCTGATATACAAGGTATGTTGACGCGATGGCGAAGACAGTTGTGCAGAAGATTGGAGCATTGTGGCGGTCCCGCAGATGTCTGAGCCTCAGTAGTCGCATCCAGTATGTGAGGTCAGTCATCATGCCTGACCTCCTATATGGGTCTAACGCCTTCTCTTCCTCCCTCAAGGTTTCGCAGCTTGATCGCCTTCAGGTCCTGCAGAACCGAGCGGCGAGAGCGGTATACGGTTTGCCGCCTCACACCTCGGCTCAGCCTCTGCTCGAACGGATGTCCCTGTACAGAGTTCGGGAGTGCTACGCCCAGAAGCGGCTCGTCCTGGTGTGGCGCTGTGTCTATGGGAAAGCCAGCAGTGTCCTCCAGGACCTATTCTCACCATCAGCTGGCAGCACCACCCGGCACCAGGTTTCCAGGGGCCTCACTGTCCCCTCGGCACAGTCAGAAGCCGGCAGATCTCGCCTGGCCTTTCAGGCAGCCTTGGCCTGGAACGCTCTCCCAAGGAGTGTAAGGGAGATCAAGGCTGCCCAGCAATTTAAGCTTGCCTCCATCCCCTACACCTTGCAATGAATGCTCTGTCTGACTTTTCCCGTCCACACACCACGTCATTTACCCTTCTCTGCGTGCTTGTGCGCTCAAGTTATGAACTCTTTGTGTTCCCTCTGTTGATGCTTCAAGATCGCTCTATTGACACTGCAAAATCGCTCTGTTGACGCTACAAAATTGCTTATCATCTCCCTCCCCCCCCCTCTCTCTCTCTCTCTCTCTCTCTCTCTCTCTCTCTTTCTCTCTCTCTCCCCGTAGCTCTCTCCCTTTTGAAATTCGCTTCCATAGAATTGGGCACCATTGCCCGTTTGGCCTTGCGAAGCAAAATAAAAATCAACAACAACAACAACAACAACGGTGTAGAAGAAATCTATTCGTGTCTCCATTGGAGAAATAATTGTATTCACTGGTTATAAAATAGGGTTAAGCGGGATTCACAGAAGCTTTTTTTGCGATGCGACACGCGATGCGACGCGATCTGCGACGAACGCGTGCGATGCGAACTCGCGAAATACCATTCACAGAAGAAGTCAGTGATGCGACAACATCTTGCTGATTTGGCTACGTCACCATGATATTCGCGCGGTTTGATACACCTTGTAAAAATTGATAGGCAACTCTTGAACCTTTGTACAACTTTGCTGTAGAAAAGGTCAAAATCGTACGCCAAATCGCTTGTCGCATCGCATCGCATCGCAAAAGTTGAGCCAACCTCAACTTCTGCGATGGCCTGCGATGGCCCAGTTGCGGCAGTTGCGTGGGGTCCGCGATGGTTGCGATTTGGGGATTTCCCGGTTTCGCGGCTGTCGCA